GGTTGGCGATGCGTCTGCGTTCCGTGTGTGAGATCTTGAGCTTTCGTCCGCGACTTGTCTGCGGACAAGCTGTCCTCCCGTGCTGTTCCCTGCGTCTTCCTTGGCTTCCCCCCTAACGCGCCTGTTTGGCAGTTTCACCACCCCACCTCGCGCCGTGTTCTGTCCTCTCACGACGCCATTGACGAGTCGGTTCCTAAAACCGTTTCTTCCCCTGCCGCACTGCCCCCCTCCCCCCCCCCCCGCCGCTCTTCCTCGCGCCAGGTCCCCCCCCGGTAGACCCCCTCCCACCTCAGGGTCCTGCCCCCTCAGGTGTGTCCCAGTTAGACGCAGTTGAGCGTGTCGAGGTAACTGTTGACTCTGGTGCTACTAGGGGTGCTGAGCCTGCGGGTGCCAGGGCTGGGGGTGCTGAGCCTGAGAGTGCGGAGCCTGGGGGTGCTGAGTCTGGGGGTGCTGAGCCTGGGGGTGCTGAGTCTGAGGGTGCTGAGCCTGGGGTTGCTAGTTGCTGAGTCTAGGGCCGCGGAGACTGCGAGCACTGAGCCGGAGGGTGTGGAGCCTGGGGGTGCAGTGCCTGGAGGTTCTTCGGGTGCTTCGTCCAAGCGGGAGCTGCTCTCTCCACAGCAGCTACGCGAGTGGTTTGCTTGGCGCTAGAGCCGTGCTGCTGGAGCTGATGGTGCTACGGGCGCTAGAGGTCCTGCTGGTGCTGGAGCTGCTGAGGGTTCTGGAGCCACTTGTCCCGGAGGTGCTCGTACTGGAGGTACTGGAGCTGCTGGGCCTGGTGGTGCTGCTGGGGCTGGAGCTGCTAGAAGTGCTGGAGCTGGAGGTGCTACTGGTGCAGGTGCTGCTGGAGGTGCTGGAGCTGGCGCTACTGGAGCTGCTGGGGCTTTTGGTGGTCCTGCTAGAGCAAGAGCTGCTAGAGGTGCTGGAGTTGGAGGTGCTGTTGGAGCCAGTGCTCCTGTGGGTCCTGGAGCGGGTGCTACTGGAGTTGCTAGAGGTGCTATTGGAGCTGGTGGTGCTGCTGGAGCTGGAGCTGACGCTAGGGGTGCTGGTGCTGTCCTTGCTGGTTGTAGAGGCGCTGCGGGGCCGTGGCCGTACTTCGTTCCACTCCTTTAGCAGGTTCTTGATCTCCCGCCTTCTACTGGTCCTGCTCCTTCCTTAGAGTGTCCACCACCTGTCCAGTCATAGTCCCAGTTACAGCCCACCTCCCCACTACCTGCTCCTTCTCCTTACACTGGTCCGACAAGGGGTCTTACGGAGCATCGTTAGCCTGACTCTCGTCCTGCGTCGCCTGTTCGTGCTGCTCGCACTAGTCGTTGTAGTTCGCGTCAGCGTCCTTCTCCTGTCCCTGGCACGCACCAGATGGCTCTGCGTCCTTCCACTGCTCCTTAGCGTGTCCCTCTGCCGTCTCCTCCTGCGTCCTCTCTTCCTACCCTTGTTGACCCGGAGTCTAACTCCCTTCGGGCTGCTAGTCATATTGTTTTGCGTCTCCTGGCCACTGCTGTCACTGACCCTTCCTTTGAGTCCACTGCTGCGTCTGCCTTAGTTGCTGAGCTTGTTGACTTTGCTGCTCACTGTCGTCTAGACTACGCTGCTAGTCTTGTTGCTGAGTCTGAGTCTGTCTGTCCTTCGTCTGTCGGGGGCGAGTGTGCTCTTGGCACGGACGTCCTGGAGGACAAGCAGGAGGAGTTCCAGTGTTTTGCTGCTGCTTTACCTCATCTCGTGTCCATGTTGCTTGCCCCTGAGGGAGACCCGGATGCACCAGACATCCCGACCCCGCGCTCTTACGGAGAGGCAATAGAGGGTCCCTACTCCTCTCAGTGGCAGACAGCCATGGATGCAGAGATGGCTTCTGGAAGTCCATAGGCACCTACGTTGACGAGGTTCCCCCACCTGGGGCGAACATTGTCGACGGCATGTGGATTTTCACGGTGAAGCGGCCGCCGGGTTCTCCGCCTGTCCTAAAGGCGCGTTACGTGGCTCAAGGCTTCACTCAGCGATAGGGAGTTGACTACTTTCATACCTTCTCCCCTACCCCGAAGATGAGCACTCTTCGGGTTCTGCTGCACGTCGTTGCTCAACGTGACTATGAGCTTCACTCTCTTGACTTCAGCACTGCTTTCCTACAGGGCAGCCTGCACGAGGAGATCTGGCTACGCCGCCCACCTGGCTTCACTGGGTCGTTTCCTCTTGGTACCCAGTGGAGCCTTCGGCGGCCAGTCTACGGTCTCCGCCAGGCGCCCCGTGAGTGGCACGACACACTGAGGACTACGCTTATGGCTCTTGGGTTTGCTCCTTCTACTGCTGACCCGTCGTTGTTTCTCCGCACCGACACTACTCTGCCGCCGTTCTACATCTTTGTGTACATCGATGACTTGGTCTTTGCTACTGCTGACAGTGCTTGACTGGCCCACGTGAAGTCGGAGCTGCAGAAGAGACAGACGTGCACAGACCTGGGTGAGCTGTGCAGCTATCTTGGCTTGCAGATCACCCGGGACAAAACACGCCGCACCATTACCTTGACTCAGTCACACATGGTGCAGCAGGTCCTTCAGCGCTTCGACTTCACGTACTCCTCGCCTTAGTCCACTCCTTTGTCTATTCGCCACTCGCTCTCAGCTCTTCCTTTGGATGAGTCCGTAGAGCCGAGTGGCCCGTACCCATAGCTTGTTGGCTGCCTCATGTACCTGATGACCTGCACTCGACCTGACCTGGCATACCCTCTTAGCATTTTGGCACGCTATGTTGCTCCTGGGAGACACCGATCAGAGCACATGGATGCAACTAAGTGGGTGTTGCGCTACTTGTGCAGTACGTCGGGCTTGGGGCTCGTGCTTGGAGGACGGGATCGAGTTGTCCTCACTGGTCGCGCAGACGCTTCTTGGGTTGACGACTTGGCTACTCAGTGGTCGTCATAGGGTTACACCTTCAACTTTGGTTCCGGCTCTATTTCGTGGCGGTCTACCCGCTCGTCTTCTATTCTCAGCTCCAGTTGTGAGGCTGAGATCTACGCTGGGGCCATGGCTGCACAGGAGTTACGCTGGCTCACCTACCTGCTGACCGACTTGGGAGAGGCGCCTCGTTCTCCTCCAGTTCTGTACGTCGACAACAAGGCTATGCTTGCCTTGTGTTAGGAGCACAGACTGGAGCACAGAACGAAGCGCATTGCTCTGCGCTACTTCCTTGCTCGAGAGTTGGTGCAGCGTGGTCAGCTTCGTCTTGCTTACGTGGCCACTCGGGCCAACACTGCTGATATCTTTACCAAGGCACTTCAGCCTTGTGATCATCAGCGCTTTTGTATTATGCTAGGTCTTATGCCTACTTGGCCTCACTTGCTCACTTCTTGACTTTGCTTGTACTGTGATCTATATATACCTACACCTGCATGCTTACCCTTGCTTGGTTGAGATCACTGTCTTGCTTGTTCACCTTGATATATAACTCTACATGTGAACTTGCTTTGTGGCCTTGTGGTTGTGCTCAGAATGCGTGGTGACATTGTGATCCACCCTGAGCTTGCTTTGCTTTTCTTGACTGGTCTTGTGACCTCTTGTTCTCCCCCACTTTGCCTATGGGGGTGTGTCAAACATATATGATATAGCCTGTTTAGGCTGTAGTGGGGTAGACATTATGGGGTACAGCTTTTCTAGGTTTTCCTACTTGTACCCATATCCTTCCTAGTCCACACCATTCACTCGTACTATTTTCACAATGTAGATAATTACAGTTGTTGAGGGCTTGGGGCTGCATGTAAATTTCAAGCACATGGATCGACGGTTGCAGCACATGGTGAAGCGCGGGAAGTTCACGCTGAAGTATATCCCAACCACTGAGCAGCCAACCGACTTCCTAACGAAGGCGTTGCACTATCCGGCCTTCAACCGGTGCTCCGTCGCAATTAGCCATGTGCGACTGGCCGACGTCGGCGACGGTGACAACGACGTGCAGCAGTAGGTGTCGTGCCCTCTTGCATGGCTGGTGCGGTGACCGGTGTGCTGCGTGTTGTGTGCACGCTGACGAGCTAATCTCCTAGTTGTGTTGATGTGCGGGCCGGGGGCCCAAGCGTGAACGCGGCAGGGGAGTGTCAACGGGAGTTGTGGTTGGCCCCGTCCTCGCTTGGGCGGAGCCGACTTTGTGCTCGGGTGTGCGGGGGGTGCAGCCGGCCTGCAGCAGTGGTCGAGCTGGTCGACGGGGCTGGTCAACCTACATGGGGGTCATTGCAAGGGCGCCGACTCTTGGGGGCGCCGAGTTCGGGTGGTCGATCTGGCAAGGTTGACATCGGGGGTGTCGACTTGGTGACGCCGACTTGGGGAAGCCATCCTGGCATGGTCGGCTAACAGCTGTGCTGGTTGAGATAGAGTTGGTAGACGAAGAGTGTGGTCGACTTGGGTCTGTTGACCGTGGTCGGCTTGGTGTGGTCGACTGGTGGTGGTCGTCGACCTTGGTGGTCGACGGGCACAAGGAGGGGCTGTTGGCCGACGTGGTTGCCCGGTCGACCAGGTTACAGGGGCGACGGGTTTTTGCGGAGGCACGCAACGGTCGCCCAGGTGTTTGTGGCGAGGTAGACTTTGGTGTGGTATCTCAAGGTCGACATGGAGGATCAGATGCAGTTGTGTGCATGTGGTCAGCCCGAGGTCTGCGCTGTGCACATGATTGTGCACAGCACGCCAACCAGCTGCGAGCACCTGCGAGGCAGGCGCGCTGCTGTCCTACGGGTGCAACAGTGTGCAGTTGCCTTGCTGTAGTGTTGGTACGCTGTCAACCTGCAACGTTGGCAGACCACGACTTTGCTCTGCTTGAGCACAGTCGACCAGATTACATGCTAGCATCTTATGTAGTCATTGTTGCCTTGCCATTGTGTACAATTGTTGTCAACTTTTGCTAGTGAAACTCTTGCCGGATTTCTCCGTGAATGCGCAAGTAGTGAGAGAACAAGTAAACGACTAAGGAACGAAAGCAGAGATCACGTCCACCTTGTGCCTAGCCCGTAGACTACTTCCGGTTGATTAAGTTATCTTTGCAGCGAGGTGCTCAGTGAGGCGCTTGCGGGTGCTCTCGAGGAACTCAGCAAGAACACGAGCTAGGTCACGGGCTGCAGCATTGTCAGGGGCAGCCGCAGCAGTGGCTTGGGCCGTGGCCGCAATCCGCTCAGCTTCAGCGATAGCTGCACGGAGGCCATCAGCATAGGGGTCAGAGGAGGAAGAGTTAGGTGCAGAGGCAGAGGTAGGAATGGCGCCAGAACCACTCTGCTGAGTGATAAGCTAGAGGTTATAGCCACTCACTAGTGTGCAAGACAGCGTGCGCTCAAGACAGAACAGCCAACTGGGGAAGTTGACTGCACTGACATCGGGCGCAAGCTGAAGGACCAGTAGAGGGAGGGAGGGGAGGGTGAGAGAAGTCGCCATGAGGAGGAGGACACAGCTGCAGAGCAGTTGAGGGGAGAGGCATAAAAGATGGGAGAATAAGGGCAGTGTAGTTTGCTGTTGAGCCGCTGAGGGGAGAAACAAGAGGAGGGATGATGACGGAGTAGTCGCTGCTGAGCCGATGAGGGGAGAAACAAGAAGAGGAGGGATAATGGCGGAGAAGTTTGCTGCTGTGTTAATGAGGGGAGAAACAAGAGGAGGGATAACGGTTGTGTAGTCTACTGCTAAGCCAATGAGGGGAGAAACAAGAGGAGGGATAATGGAAGAGTAGTCTGCTGCTACGCCGATGAGGGGAGAAACAAGAGGAGGAGGGATAGCGGCGGAGGAGTCTGCAGCTGCACCGCTGAAGGGAGAAACAAGAGGAGGAGGGAGCATTGTGAAAGAGTTTGCAGTTGAGCTGTTGAGGGGAGGATGCTTAGGAGGAGGGAAGGTGTGGAAGAGCAACAGCTACAACACACAGTCAGCAACCAACTACAGCAGATGAAGAGAGGAAAGAGGTGGAGGAAGGGGTGAGATAGTGGAGAGGGAACTAGTGGGAGAAAGGAGAGGAGGATGGTGAAGGGGTAGATTGTAGGAAGGGCAGGGCGCGCCATAAGTAGCTATGAGCTGCAGCAGATGAAGAGAGAAAATAGGAGGAGGAAGAGGTGAGGTAGTGGGGGAAAGCACAAAGGAGAGACGAAAGGAGGAGGAGGGTGAGGGAGGGGGCGGATTGAGGAAGGGCAGGGCGCGCCGCAAGGAAAGGCAGGCGCGTGCTCTGCTGGACGGTGCGAAGGGCGCACGGCAGAGCGCGCTTCAGGCAAAAATGGGCGCGCTACTGCCTCAAACATGAGGAGAAGGAGGCGTGGGAGGGTGATACTGGCGGTATGGCGGCACGCTACGGACTGGATTAAGGAATCCGCGAGAGTTTAGTGTGACGAAAAATGCGAATAATGAGCGACAAGAAAGAAAAGAGAGAATGAAATACCGTCTAGCTAAGTAGTGCGGAAATGGCCTACGGGTAAGAAGGAAACGCCCAGGACTACACTCTGAATACCATGTTAATATCTGAGGAGCCATGAATGGCGAGAGAGTTAGGTAGGGACAAAAAAGTTGTAGTAGAGGAAACTGACGAGGTACAAAATGAGAGAAGGGTTGAAAAGCCTAATTGAACCTAAGGCATGTTCAGTTTGGACTTAAAGCTAGGATATAAAACTAAAATGATCCTAAAAGCGTAACTCTCTCGAAGCATGGCGAAATATTAGAAAAAACACCAAAATAAAGACCAGAGCAAGCTCTAGCCTACTTCAATATGGGCAACACTTTGGTGCTAGGGCGAGCGCACAATTGACGCCATACCTTGCTCGCTACGGTGCACCATGTAGCAAGCGCGTGACTGTGCAGGGAGAAGAAACCGATAGTCAGTCGAGGGAGCATGGGTTCACCCTTGCTTCCGGCTAGGAGATTTGTCGAGTCTCAACGCCGCGAAGCTGTTCATGCCACGATCCTGGTCGTGTGGGAAAGAGGCGAGGGACACCGAGTGCGCGGAACACTTGGAACGGCTGGTGGTGATGTTCCACGTGCGCGAAGGAGAAAAGATTCTGCTGTGTGAGTTTTCACATTTGTTTGCCCATCAACTGTGCAGTGTTTCCCTGATCCTTACTGAAACCCGCGTTGTTGTTTCTGCCCTTAATCCCCGCACCCACTAAATAGGCACCAATCGTGAAGTGCGGAACGAGATGTGCACGTTTTTGCATGTGCTATTCGGGGCACCAAAAGAGGAGCAGCCCTTCCATGTGGGCTTGAGGGCGATCATGTGAACAGCGGACTGGCAGAGAACTTATCCGAACCTGGTGCGGCTGTGGCGGTGTTGCTGCTCAGCATGGTGGGATGCGAGAATGGATTTTCACACCAAACTGTGATTGCGAGCTGGCAGCGGACCAGCTTGTGCGATGCTAGGCTGGGTGGCCTCACAACGCTGAGTCTATTAGAGTACGACATGGAGTGGAGTGAAGTTGTGGCACTGTGGCACAACACCAAGAAGAGGCGACCCACCAAGCGCAAGGCGGCAAAAGTGGATGCATCGAGGAGGAGTGGCGCAGGGTTCCAAGGGGGGCTAACAGACCTAGGTGGTGATGCACAGGCTGTTAGTGGGGATAGTGATGCTAGTGAAGATAACCTGGAGGAGGAGGATGGTGATGGAGTTCGGAATGTTTATTTCTAGTGAAATTGCGAGAATTACTGTACCTATCGTAGCCCAATTTACGCCCTTCGCAACCTATACTTATTTCCCACGCGACATTTGACGACACGACTTTGAAATTGTAAGTTTTTTCCATTTTGCCCGCCAATCTTGTGCAAGGAATTTCGGACGGTCTGAATGCGTTTCGGACAGTCCGCTTCTCACATTTTGACTGGTTGAATTGGGAAAGAAATATCACTACCGTCCGAGATTTTAGCGACGCCGCAAAGGCACTAACGACTACCTTAACTTAATATCACGACTCTGGTTACCCTTCACAACCCCGAACGGTCCACAATTCGGACCGTCTGAGGCAAAAAGTGGCAAAATGGTTACACGCCCTTAGTTTTAGACTAGCCATTTTCCGACCAATGTGTTGTCAGAGTATAAAAAATTATGGGGGGTCAGAATCAGAGACCGTTTTTTGAAACGTTAGCCCTGTTAGAGGGGTAAATTCCTTGATTATGACTTATTGACAGGCATTGCTACAGTAACCGCGAATATTGCTCTTCTTCTGTTACCGGGTTGCTGCCAAGGTCGTCGCTAGCATACATTTTTTGTCTGTTTGGCTGATGATCAGACATGTTTTTTTGGATTAATCTGATGGGCTAGTCAGCATCAGGCAACAATTTTTTTTTTCCCGAGGGACCTGTTTGATGCATCAGACATTCCGCAGATCCTAGCGACGACCTTGGTTGCTGCATGTAACTATACATACAGTTATGCTTGTTGCCATCCTTCGCAGGTAACCGTTTTATCCAAGTACAGTCACGATAATTGACTTGCAAATTATGAGCTAAGTGCCCTATATGGGCTAACGCGATACAAATGATGTTGCTTTGATAGTGGCTGGTGCGATACTGCTGCACCTTCGGGAATGTTTAAATATATCCTTGCTTACTTTGTTGGAGTGGAAATGATTTTGGATGCGATAGGTCTGGTTTAGAGAATTCTTAGCGGATGTTTTGGTGGTAGAACCTTGTGCATAGTGAATGTAAATGACAAGATTTATCAAAAGATAGAATTGCACACAATAAATAGATCTAACTAGCCATGTACTCTAAGGGGTGCATTACCTTATTATACCTGCTTCATAGGCATTCTACTGTGACTCCGTCTCTTTCATTTCTCTGTATTATCAAGTCGCTGTGTGTAACTACATGGATAGTTACGCCTATTGTCATTCTTCGCTGGTGAGTTGTCGGTCTAGATGGTCAACAGTCATGACAATTGACCTTTGCGAATGTTGACCTTCCTGCCCTTGTATGGGCTGATCCGATAATGCTGCTAGTGCTGCTTCGATAGTGACAGGTGCGATATAGCTGCACCTACGGGAATGCTGAAGTCGATTTCTTTCTTACTCCAACACTCCCCTTCATTCCTGGAGGTGCTCCACGTGGCGCTTTCGCATGACCTCACACAATTCCGAGCAGTATTGGAACTTCTGACGTGGCAGCTTCTTTGTCAGAAAGTCATTTGCCATTTCGCAAATTGGGCAGTAGGTGAGCTGGACTTTCCCTTTGTCGATTTCGTCCTTGACAAAGAAGTCATGTAGGGCGATGTGTTTCGTGCAGTTGACGAAGCCGGGTTTGTTCGTGATCTTGATCGCACTTTGGTTGTCGCATAGTAACTTGAATGACCTGTTCATCACCATTTTTGTTTCATACAGGAGCTCCGTGAGATAGAGTCCTTCGCAAACTGCTGCACTTGCTGCGATCAATTTTGGTTCTGGTGACAAAAGGGCGATTTGCTGTTGCTTCTGTGAGTTCTAGGAGATGGTTCCAGCATGCTCAAGTCTGAAAATGAAGCATGTGTGGGACCTTCTGCTATCTATATCCCCAGCGTGGTCAGCGTCCACGTAGCCCGTAAGCTACATGTTAGTTGTTAGGTCCGCTTTGTAGGTGAGACCGACGTCGGGTGTAGAGCCAAAGTATTGCAGGGCGCGTCGTAGGTCCGCCATATTCTTCCCTTAAGGTCGTCGCAAGTATTGGGCAAGCTAGCTTGCAATGTAAGACAAGTCTGGGCGGCATGTGACGGCGACAAAGTAGACACCCGAGTTGCTGCTGGTAGAGACGATAGTCGGTAGCAGAGAAAGGGGTGGTATTGGGCTGATGGTCAGGAGAAGGAGTGCGAAATGGGGTAGTGATGCCGACGGGAGCAATGCTGAATTTCTTGGCGAGAGTCTCGGCGTATTTCGCGGCAGAGAGATGAATCGTTTGTCAGAGGTCCACTGGTGATCCCCGATTGATCCTAGGGAAGGGTTACAGGCACGTTGGCCTGGGGGGTTATGGGCGCACTTACCCGCTACACAAACAAGCCCTTTTATCCCAGTGGTTAGTGGCTGGGATTTTGACATGGTATCAGAGCGAAGGTCTCGGGTTCCAATCCCGGTGTGTGCACTTTGGGCATCCCAGTGCGGGGGGGTGTCAGAGGTCCACCGGTGATCCCCGATTGATCCTAGGGAAGGGTTACAGGCACGTTGGCCTGGGGGGTTATGAGCGCACTTACCCGCTACACAAACAAGCCCTTTTATCCCAGTGGTTAGTGGCTGGGATTCTAACATCGTTTCGGTTGTTTGAATGACGTTAAGGCCAAGAATTGAGTGATGCCATGATCCACCATCTCTTCTAGCTTCTGCTTGATGTCACGCTCGAAGCGGACGAGCAGCTCTACGTTGTCTGCGGTTTACAGCAGGTTGACCATGTAGGTGACGAGCAGGATAGAGTGGCCTCGAGGACTCGAGGCGGTACATCCCCTGGTTGTGGGGAAGTTGCTGGAAGCCGAGTCTGATTAGCATGGTATAGAGGTATTGCTGCCACAGTAGCGGTGACTGCTTGATGCCATAGAGGGATTTTTGGAGAAGGCACACGACATCGCCGCTTTCCTCGAAGGCGTGCGGCTGCTCGACGCAAATGATAGCATCCTCGACGTGTTGGAGACGTCGATCTGCGTAACGGGCGTTGCTTTACGGCGGCGATGCAGATTAAGAAACGTAGAGACATGTGGCCACCCACTGGTGCAAAGGTTTGGTCGAAGTCGATGTCGTGTGTCTGCTCGAATCCGCGCACCACCCAGCGTGCTTTGTACTTCTTGATTGATCCGTCTGGGAGCTGTTTGATGCGGAACACCCATTTTCCCGTGAGAATCTTCCTCCCTT